TGCACGTAGCATGGATTACTTAACTTGCAAACACCCAACAACAAAATACATGGGAAACAGCATTTCCTATCGCTGCAAAGTATGCAACATCTGAACCGATGCACATTTTGCAAAAAAAGCATAGCAAGATAGATACTACTTTCTTTTTTTTTGCCGTATCTTGTTATTGTATTTGATACAGAATTTCGCTGCTTGCTACCTATGCATGCCACCAGTTTGCAATGGGGTGCTCTCGTACTCTTCCAAATTTGAAATATTATTTTTGCATTTCGTGCCATCCGTGCATCGTGCAAGACTTAAAGAATACCCCTATTATAAGCGTTTTCTCAAAGTGTTGCATAGAATAGCATGGTAAAACCGATTTTCCTATGGCACAGCTTTTTAAACGTTGGGTTTATACGAACAAAAGGCAAGCAGAGGAGACACATTCTCAAAATTAAGACCAGCAGATGAGAAAGACCTTATACTATGTTATACTATGTAATACATCAAAAATCCTATGCATCTATATATATAAAAATCAATTGTATTTTACGTGAAAAAAAAATTAATAAAATTAATATACACTTGTGGTCAGCTGATTAAGTTGAGTGGCATTTTGACCAGTTTTGGCTATTTTTATTTAATCTTAAGATTTTTTTTTATAAAAGTCTAGCACATTACATAACCAGCACCACTCAAATCCTTATTTCAAACTTCATTCAAAAGTTATAAAAATTTAACAAATGCACCCAAAAATTTAAAAATTTTTCTTCAGAATTTTTAGAAAAAATTGAGGTATGCAGTTTTATAGCCCATTCGAAAACTTATTAAAGTATGCTCGACAATTTCTTCTATATGGAAGAAAATTCACTTTAACAGCCAATTTATTAATTCTGCAAAAGATAGCGTATTTTTCAAAATTTCAGATGGTGACAATCAGTACGCTTTGAAGTATGTATTAATTAGCATTTAAATTTCACAAATGTTTTTAAAATTTAGCATACCTATTTTTAAAACATTGAATTCCCGGCAAATTATAGAAGATTTGAGATAAGAGTTAATCAGCGATTTTGCAGGATTTTTAATGTAATCTGGCTGTAAGTTGTTTTAAATATGTAGTGTCGATTATCCAGTTTAAATATTTTTTGCCACGTAGTTGTGTCAAATCGAATAATAATTAGGACTTTCAGAAATATCTCCCCACCAGCGCCAGCTACCGGTACAAATACTTATTTTTACATGTTTAAAACATAGTCTGCGTCAGACTATAAATACGGCTTTTAGTGGTGCCTTGACTCCACCTCCACCTACCGGAAATTAGTTTGCCCTATGCACAATAGACAATTATATAAACTGAATGCTATGCATTTGAGCCCAGTCGATTCTCTAGTATTTGAGTCTATAAAATATGTACAGACACTAGGAAAAGTTTCCGCACAGAGATTTTTTTTTATAGTAATCATGTTTTTCATAAAAAAAATTGTTAGTATTTTATAAACAAAATTTCAAATTTGCCAATTTTCAGCAAAATTTCAAGCTTATTTGATTTTTTCTAACGCTTTGCGCAATTCCAAAATTCTTTCGAGCGGATGATGTCTGAAGGCTTCGGAAACAGTCTACGAATTTTGATAACTGGAACAGAAATAATCTTTTGGAAATGTATAGTTTGCTGTGGAAAATTAATATTGTGATTGTGTTAAACTTTAAGTATTCATATGTGTAGGTTATTACGTGAAAATCTGTGCTTATATATATGTTCAAGTATATGTATAAGTGAAAAGTAAAGCATATATATTTCCCGAGCATATAAACATTATACATATGTGTAAGCAAGCTTGCATAATAGCAGTGGTTGGCAGCAAGGTGTGAGTAGTTTATCAAGTGTAGTTTGATTGTAAGTTGAAAAATTAAAAAAAAAATTGTCTTATCGTAACTTGGTGCACCTTATTTCTCATATAAACATAACATAATTGTATCTAAGCTAATGTGTTTTTATTGTTTTTTTTTTTAGAACAAAACATATAAACGCAAAATTCAAACTATAAAATAAAAAAAGAATTAGTAATACGGTTTACTAAAAAAACTAAACAAGTTAAGAAAGCAAAAAAGAAAATATTAATTGAAACATGAATAAAAAGTAAGATTTACGAACTTTTGGAGGTGAGTGTAATATAGATTTTTTCATTTGTAGCTGATTGATAACTGAGTGACGAGGAACTTTCTTTTTTTTACTTAATATTTTTTCATTTGTTTACTATCTCATTTTTTTATTTGCAATTTAATGATTTGGGAAGGTATTGGTTTTCGTAAACTTCTGACATACCGCATTGTACTGCAAAAAAATTAAAATAAAATCAATTTGAACAAAACGTATCCAATATAAAAAAAAGCAAACAAAAAATGGATAAACAAGAATACACAAAATACTTTATGCGCACATAACTAGTATGAATACAAAAATATTTGTACGCACGTGCATCATTATTAAATTTTAAATATACATTTTTTATGGCATATCCCCCTTATTGTGTTCTATGTAGAAAATAAAGGCTTCTACGAAAATTTCAAATTTTTAAAACAACATTTATAGGTCGTTACAAGGGTGATTGAATCGGGTTTTCCAAACCGGTTTCCATTGGTTTTTTCGAATATCGATTAAACGGATTTTTTTGTCGACAAACCGGTTTTTTTTTTAATCTCAAAGTTTAGAGTTTTTCGAAGTTTCTAAAGCCTTTTTCAGTTTAAGGGAAATCCCTTAATACCTACTCGTAGTTTCAAAATTATATCCTAGGTTATTTGGGGATGTACATACATATATCTTAATTGATTCCAATAAATAAATGTTTAACGTTTAAGCGTTTATTACCTATAACAAAATAAGTCAAAGTTTAATATTTTCATTCATTTTTCATTGTTTGGTAACAATCCCTAAAAATTATTTTAAAATTTTGAAAATTTAATTGGTGCCTTTTTTTTACATAGAACAAAATTAATAGGGAGCACCATATAGAATTAAGATGTTAATTTTGAAGGACCACAATAATGTACAAGATATGTACGGATTTAAAAAAAGGTAAAGTTATACGTTTTTAAGTTAGTCAATTAGCTAGTACAATTTACAGATACAAACATACATAGATATGTCTAGCTGAAATTTATCAGGGTTTGAAATAAAAATATTTAAATTAAAATGTGTGTTTTTATTCTGGACGATATGTATTTAAAACAAGAATCACAATTGCATTATATTCACAGAAATGACTGGTAATAAAAAATGGGTAAAAAGTGGGTTGTTGTTAATCATGCTTATCATTGGCTTGATCCTTCATTATAGGTTGTGAGTATCTGTGCTTTTGTTGTTGCCCTTGTCCTTCTTTCTGCCACATTAGCCACTTCACAGTGGCGTTAAAAGTTCAATGCAGCCGCGCCCTGTCTATTCACGCATGCGCATACGCATATGTAAAAATTAAGTTTTATTTTCTGAGCAAAAAATAAAACTTAAAACGTACCATTATTTTCCGAGCAAAAAATAAAACTTAAAACGTAACGATTATTTTCCGCGCAAAAAAAGAAACTTAAAAAAATAGTCGTTATGTTTTAAGCAAAAAATAAAACTTAAAACGTAACAATTATTTTTCGAGCAAAATATAAAACTTAAAACGTACCATTATTTTCCGAGCAAAAAATAAAACTTAAAACGTACCATTATTTTCCGAGCAAAAAATAAAACTTAAAAATCGTTATGTTTTAAGCAACAAATAAAACTCAGTTAATAACGATTAAAAAGTGATTTTTATAATAAAAGTTATAAGCGTTANATCGTTATGTTTTAAGCAACAAATAAAACTCAGTTAATAACGATTAAAAAGTGATTTTTATAATAAAAGTTATAAGCGTTACGGTCCCTGATAAAACAAAAATTTTATTTCAAGTCTCATTGTTTACTTCTGATATGCCAATTTCGACTTTTTATATCTTTGATATGCCTTAGAAATTTTTAATTTCGATCAAATATGTATTCGGTGTAGCCATGGTATTTATTTTTCGTCATTTTAAGTCAAAAATTTTTTTTAGACATATCGTGTTGATCCCGTACTGGATTAATCGAAATACTTTCTTACGTTACTTTAGGGTGATAAGGACTGAGATCTAGTGGTAAGTACTAGAACGGAGTGACTTAGGTCAACGAACTTTGGAGCAAAAAATATGCTCCTCGGGATAAGAACATACTTTAAGATCGGACTGTAAATGCCAAAGATATGGAAAATTACAAAAATATGGAAAATTTAAAAAAGCGGCCAAAAGGATTTTTTTTTCGAAATTGCCAATTGCCTCCTGAAGACAAAAACATTGACCGCGAGTACCGATTTTATGACGAAAAATGTAAAAAGCCGACGCCTATGTTTGGCCAAAAAATACCAAGGCTAGATTTATGACTTAGCAGACTAGAGACCAATTATAAAAATTCATATGTCGGGGTTTATGATACGATTAGTCATGATACAAGTATTTACAGGTAAAACCGGTCGGCCATGATTTATATATATATTTTTTTTTTGTAATTTTCACCACTTTCTCTACCATCACTAGATTAGAAGTTGTACGGCGAACTTTTTTCTGGTACAGTCTAATATGCATGATAGATATTACTTCTAATAATAAAATTACATCCTTGTTTCCCACGAGGGTAAATCGGTACGAATTCGATATGGCCTTATTTTGAAGGGGTATATTTTTTCAAGTACAAAAAAAGCACAATTCAACAAAATATGACAATATCGAGTATGTAAAAAGCAATACGCTATATGCTAAGTTTAATGTAGCTGATAGTAATAGTAATATGCAATTCTTTGTTTGCACTTTCAATTTCGCGTTCCCCACCACCCCAAGCAACAAGCAACACTATTTCAATTTTTCTTTTATACTCAAATTCCTACTTGCAAGCGCGCATAAATAAATCGCTAGAGTCAACACTTTTTAGCAATCATCTAAATTAATTTGATTTTCCGAATGCTCACCTTCTCCTTAACATTATTTAGAAATTCGTAGTGTGTTCGTTTCTTCATTTTCTCCGCATAACGTGCTGTTTCTAGCTCAAATTCATCCGAATAACCCAGACCAGTGTTGAGCATTTGCAGGCGTTCATCAATGAATTGCTGAAATATTTGCAAATCCATCATTTTTGCGAGAAATGGTTGCAAATGTTTGGGACGAGATTCGATAAATTTTTGACGGTTAAATGTTTTGCCTGTTTCGCGGAATTCCACAGCATCACGATAGCCGCTTATCAGTTGCACCAACACGCCAAGAAATATTTTCGAAACACGATCGCCGATATGCTCATGCGATTGACTGAGTTGTTTCTTCATTTGTGACACAATTTTGGCTGGCATTTCGCCCACATCATCGAACGGGCTTTCGAAAATTTTTGTATCACAGTTAAGTATCACAACTTCGCCGAGCTCATCGGTTGTCATCTGCAAGAGAAATTAAGAATTGGAAAAAAAATATTGAAATGGATTTACTGGGGATGTACTATGTGAGATCATGTAAAATCAGAAATATGCTACAATTGAAAATGAAATATTGTTATTTATTAATATTTGCTTTTGTTTACAAACCGTTTCGAGCACAGTTTGTGGCACACCAATTAGATATGGCATTGGTGCACTCAAATAGTCTTTCAGCTTCATCGGCAGCACTGGTATGAAGATGTGTTGCCACACCATGGGATAGAGAAACGCATTCGCCGCTTGTATGCACGACGACAAGCGATCCAGGCGTCGCGATGTGAAAATGATGCGTCGCTCTGCCAGCATCGCAGCAAATACTGCAATCATATTCTTTGGATCCACAAAATTATAATACAAATTTAAATTGTGCTGTGGATAAGAAAAATAAAACATTATAATCGTCAATAGCATACACACACACACATTCAATTAAGTTTATCACGCTTAGACTTTGACTTACATTCTCGGGTATGCTGGGCAACTGAAATTGCAACGGCCGCTCAAACACGAAATACTGCAATCAAATGAGCACAATTTTATTAGATTAGATTAAATAATTGAAATTGCAAACACCGTTAATTTTAGAACTTACATTTTGACCGCCGTTATAGAATAATTTCAAATGTCCACCCGGATCAGGCACACCGCGGTTGTACGCTTCGGCGAGAAATGTGCGAAAGTCATTGTGGGAATTGTCGACATTCGTTGTTGTGTTGGCATCACCACGCCGCAGTTCGGCCAGTAGCGTCAACAATCGCAGAAATGTGTCGTGCCATGGTAAGTATGTGATTATTACCATTGCGGTATCTGTCTTCGGGTCGTGACGACAGAAACCAAAACGCCACTTTGAGTCATCTGTTGTGAGTACAAAGGAATAGGATTGCACGGAATCACTGAAAAAAGAACATTTGGAAATAGCATAAGTTAATATTTAGTGAAAAAATTAATGCGTTGTAATTTATAAAAATATTTATAGGAGTGTAGGCCTACAACGTTGGATGGCAAAATTTAAATTTTAAGTGTACGTTTCAGATGCACTCAAAAACGGTAGTCCGAAACCGATTCTCTATGTACTCTATGTAAACACAGCGATGATTTTTAATCAGATCTGCCCATATTTACGTACAGTGGCATAATGAGTTATGAGATAGAACTGCTACAGCGGAAATCATAAAGTTAGATCCCATTAACCGGAAATTCCTGACTTACCGCCATATTCCCACAACACTGAAAAAACTCAGCGGCTGACTATTGTCTTTACCACTGCGGCTAATACTATGCCGCAAATTTATTTGAAGCTCTCGTATCGTGACTATTGTCAGTGTTGTTGTTATGACCTACTGAGTACGCGACAACGGCGAAACAATGTTTGTACATATTGTGTCTTAGGCGCAATAATTGTGAGAATAGTCATACGATGAATTTTGTCAGTGTTGTGAGAATAGGGCGGTTATGTACGTTCAGTAGCATCCAGGGTTGCCACTGAGGAAAAAAAACTTACCATACGCTTAATAATAGCTACAATTTTTGGAAAAAATCTACTAATAAATAACTTTTTTAGTTACTTCAATAAAAACTTTAGATTTCTTTTATTTATTTTTTTAAATACATACATACATTTGTATTTGTGATAACGAACTTTGCATTTAACTATTTACAAGGTATTTGAGGTCATATTAACGACATAGCAAAATTTCATCGTTTGAAAGAACTTTAAGACAAATACAGTGACTCAAACAAACCTCATTGTGATTTTTTTTTTAATATTCAGAGATTTTTCAAGTTAAAACTTAATTGTAAATATTGTTGTTAGTACGAAAATTCGAAATTAACACAACCACATGATATAACTTTCAGTGCGCTAACTACACAAAGGAAAATTTTAATAAACAAACAATTTTTTTAAAGGTATATATTTTAGCCCAGAGTTGGGAAAAATGCAAAATGCTTTTATATTGATAATATATAAACATTAACGCTTTATTGTTAAGTTTAAAAAAGTAAATTGCACCAGTTTCAATTTTGCGCTCTTGGTTACCCTTTTTTGTATTATTTATTATTATTTATTTTACCATTTCTTAATACTAACTATTTTTTATAGGTCACCTAAGAACCCCAAAAAATGGGGGGGGGGGCATAGAAAATCGTTGGTGTTAAAAAATGGCAAAATAAACAATTGGGTATTATTATTGGAAGTCTCCTAAAGAGAAACAGAGTTTTCCGATCGGAAAATATGGATTTCCAGTGATCCTATGTCATTTCCACGAAAAATAAATTTTTTGCCATGTAAAATACATGGAAAACTTTGAACTAGAGGGTTAGAGCATTCAAAACTCGGACTTTACTTTTTCCCACGCATTTTAGGACCACCCTAATTTGCATACAACGCTCGCCATGTATATATGTATTTTCTAATTTAGTCTTTGACTTCCCTGAGTAAACATTGTTCTAGTTATCATTAATCATAATCATTTACATCATTTAATAAAAAACTATTAAATTTATTTGCTTAAGGGTGTTTTCTTCTTCATTTAAAAACTGATTTTTTTCAAGTTTTACTGTTTTTTTGGGCATGTGTTTACGATTGCCGGGTTCTCATATCACACGTACACAAAGAAATATTTATAGATATATATACATAACTAGCATTAATTTTTTCTTCACGTAAAACTGTTTTTTTTTTAAATACAGTTGGTCTGTCTTTTTCGCATCCCAGAACATCAAAACATCATTCCGGCGAACCGTGAATCCAATATGGCGGCCAAAAAATTAAATTGATTCGGTCAGCTTAAAAACCCAATATGGCGAAAAAAATTGAAGTCGGTTAGATGCGCTTCAAACTTTACAATCAAAGGTTCTTAAGTTCTCTGTTTAGGAATGTAAGAAACTCCATTCCCTAATATTTTATAGTTTTTGCTTAAATTTGGGCCAGAAAAATTATGCACATCACAACAGTCCAATATGGTGGACCCATTTTTGTAAAATTCATCGGATTCGCTTGAAAATCGTTACTCAGGGGTTTTGGGAGTCACCGATTACGAATTTGATGTCAGTTTTCGAAAATTCAAAATGGCGTATCCAATACAAAAAGTGTCCGCCATATTGGATCCGCCATTTTGAATTTTCGAAAACTGACATCAAATTCGTAATCGGTGACTCCCAAAACCCCTGAGTAACGATTTTCAAGCGAATCCGATGAATTTTACAAAAATGTGTCCGCCATATTGGATCCGCCATTTTGAATTTTGAAAAAATAATATCATATTCGTAATTAGCGACCCCGAAAACCCCCGAGTAACGAGTTTCAAGCGAATCCGATGAATTTTTCCAAAAGGTGTCCGCCATATTGGTTTTCTGGGGTTATATCAAAACCCTGAACTGATGGGGTTAAATGGACCTCGGATTCGGATTCAGCGACCCCAGAAACATAATATACACATAGTGAGACCTTTGGGTCAGAACACAAATTTTTTTTTGTGTGGCTGTGTAATTCGTATGGAAAAATTTGAATTTGTGACTATAAAACATAGCATAACTTCATAATTTTTTTTATTGGTTCTAATGAATGGTACCCTATTTTACTCGGAATTAAACATTCTTTCCGAAGTAATGACTAAAAGAGACAATTTTCTTATGAAATTTTGGCAAAAATGTGGTGGAAATGGAAAAAAATAATAAAAATTGGACTTAATTTCAGATTTATTCGAAACATTTTCCACATATTTACAATTGGTTAAAAATAAACCGAACTAAAAATTCTTTAGTGCCGAAAGCAATGCGGAAAAGTTTTTTTTAAGAATAAGTTGAGAATTTGAGGGTGTTAGAAACATTTTGAAAACAGTTTCTTGAATTAATCGACCAGCTCTACGACCGGTGCTAGGTCACTTTAAAAGTTCGCGCATTTTTTTTATTATTATGTAACACCGTGTTATAGATATTAAAGAAAAATTAATAAGGGGGGTCTCAGTGTTGCCAGGTCTTCGTCATGAGAAAACGTCACTCTTGGTCTGAAAAAACGTAATTTCCTACCCAAAAACGTCTTTTTCAAATGAATGTAGAAAAAATTGTGGAGCTCCACACCAAAAGGTTTCATTTCCAAAACTCGAAATGTTAATGCAAATTCCTTGCATTTACTGGTATGTGTCCATATTTTAACAGAGAACCCGAGATAAAGCAACCAAACCTTTATTGAGTCGTATTGAAATCACTCGATCGGACAAAATCGTAAAGCTGGTCACACGATTGCCGTAAAAGCACCAATCTGAAACAATTTTTATGATGGAAATGTAGCATTTTGGTGTGGAACTCCACAATTGTTCTTATTAAACTTTTATTGTGTACAAAGGTATATATGTACGTAAGGTATATTAAAATGTCAATTCGACAGAGCACATTTAAAATTCATTGTAAACTGGTTTGAGATCGTTAATATAAAAATAATTTTATACATACACTTGTGATCAGCTGATTAAGTCATCAACATTTTGATCGATTTTGGCTGTTTCTCTTTCGTTTATTTAATATATATTATTTTTTCCATAAAAGCCAAGCTCTTTAACAAACAAAATATAAATCCACAAAAACTGTGCAAAAATTATAAAAAATCTGCAAATTTTCAGCGAGATTTTCAACTTTCGGATTCGGATTTTTTAGATTTTTTTTTTGAGTATGCAGTTTGATAGCCCATTAAATTTCAGGGCAATAATGTGCAAGTTTAAAGGGGCGTTGATTTTTAATATTTGTTTCTTGTAGACATTTCGGTTGTCGAAAATGCTAAATTACGTTCTGCTAGGAAGGAGCATAGCAATATTTCAGTCTTTTTTGCGTTCATTACATTACATTTTCAATGTAGTCTTAAAAAAGTCGCCTACTTTTTTCTGACGTTTTATGCTGCACAGTTATTTTGATGCTTTTGCGAACGTGCGTGTTGCAATAGATCGGCTCTTCCTGATTCGGCTTTTAATGTGCAATTGCAAACATTACAGCAAGCCTCGTAACCTCAAGTGTTTACACAACCAGCCTTTGAACACGGCATCCTTAGTCCAAGAATCCAAAAAAAAATCTTTTGAAGCAGCTGCAGCAAAACACAAAGATTGTAAATTGATTAAGAAAATAATTCAAAATCAGTTCCTCTTGCAAAATTTAGTAACAAAGAAAAATTACTGGGAAGTTAAAAAACGTCATTTTTTTACACAAAAAACGTCCAAACGTCAACAGGATACAAAAAACGTCCAAATGACGTTAAAAACGTCAACCTGGCAACGCTTAGAGCAACAGAATCCAAATCAACTTTTTTATTCGAATTTTTTATTGTCTCTCTGTCTGTCTGTCTGTATATTTGCAAGCGCATCACTCGAAAACTAATGCATGGAATCGAATGCAGTTTTCATCGGTGCGTTACTAAAGGTCAAACTTAAGAAAAAAATAATGAGAGTTGCCACCTGTTTGAAAATTGTAATTTAAGTAAATTGATAAGATAAAGTAAATATTGCAATATGGCTGTCAAAAGAAATTAAAAGAGAGTTACAGTCGAACATGTTTTTGTGAATGGTTGCCTGTTTGAAAATTTAAATTTTATTTAATTGATAATATCAATTAAATATTGCAATATAGGTATCAAACTAAATGGGATTTAGGAATTTTTACCGCCAAAAATATTTTTGAGGAGGCTTGCCACCTGTTTAAAAAATTCTATACACCTTTGAAGAAAGAGCACGATATGTAGAATCGAGTTGTAAGAGTATGTATAAATTAAATTTCCAGAATTAAATACATTCGAAAATATATTAACTAACACCCTTATTCATAAAAAATAAAGTATGTTTCATATATCGAAAATATGTTAGAAAATCTCAATTCATAAACCTCTGCAAATCTATTTTATTTTTTATGA